GCCTTTTAGGAAGACCAAGTCATTGCTTTTTTTGGGTTTCCTCAGGGAAAGGAACAGCATGTCTTGGCTCCTGTTTCTCTTGCCCAGAAACTTCAAGTTGAATCCACTTTTCTAACCTTTAGGCCACTGCATTCCCGCGGCGTTCTTATGGTTGGATGTTCCCCATTTTATCCGACATGAAATGTTGTCCTTGCGGTGTGAGGAAGCAGTTGAGAACACATTGCCGTGCACACACAGTGTTACCAGTGGGGTGCTTTGCATTAAGGCTAGGATCACAGCAGCTCTGTGGCTCAGTGTGGATCCTGTCTCTACAATGTATGTATGTATATTTCATGAGCCTATGAAAATGTAAACTTCAGTTATCTCACTGTGTTTTTTTGTTTTTTTTCTATTCCTCGATGGAAGCACATGAAAAGACCAACAGATCTTGGCCATCGACCGCTCTGCAACGAAACATATTTGAATATGCAAGATTTAGACGAGCTTAGTCATACGATAATGTCCACATCCCTTCTTTCTTTGTGCAGCAGAAGGACCCTGATTGGAGTGCCAGAGGCAGGCTGGAGCTTTGCTCTGTCTTTGCCTCCACATAAATAACTGTGTCATTGCTGAATTAACAAACACAGGCCGAGGGTTAATTTTGTATTGTTGCTTGTCTTTCTCTCCTGCCTTCGCTCCCTCTTTGCCACAGTGCCTGCTTTGCATTCTGAGTTCACTGATTAAGTAAACCTGATTAGTCGAGCTGCCACTGCCAAATACACCCCTCAGTTCCAAAGAGGATCTTTTTTCTTTCTCTCTCTCGCTCCTCATTTTCCATTCCTCTATCTTGTCTTTCAAACAGATGAATGGATGATGAGATTTGACAGGCCCATTTTTACCAACAGAGAGGTAGTTTCCTGTTTCCGAGGTTTACGCTGATGAAGGCTGACTGCCAAAACCAAGAGACCTGCAGTAAAACCAATTTGCAGTATCACCTGCAAACTGCTCCTCTTTTATTTCTCCCCCCTCACCTTAAACATCACAGGGATCGTTTGTGAGGGGTCAGGATTGAACTGTGTTCAGGAAACCATCACAGTCAAAACCTATGCTTAGAAATACGCAGTAGTTGTTTTGTTTTAGGAAACGTTAGTGCCTTTTTCATGTTTACTTGTAGCTCATCAAAACTGCATATACTGTACCATTCATATATCAATAAACATGTCATTCGATGCAGCACCTTTTTCATTAAAGTTGCATAAGACTTTTCATATGTCAACTTCTGCATAATTCTCTGTACGAGTGCTGTGACTTTTCTTATTAATAACCTAAGTTATACTTATATTTAATACCATCTCCATAGACAGATAGTGCTTTGTGTTGCACATTGATCAACTATAAACAATATGAATAAATAATGTCATTCTGATGATATTTGAAGTTTAAGTCACATGAGTTATGTCATGCATTAAGGTCTTATTGTATTAATACTACAGCACCTGTATTAAGTGTATTGAAATTTGTGAACACTCATTGTTGCATACTGATCAACTGTACATAATGTTGTTATGATTACATCCAGATTATGAATAATGTAAAGCATTTGAGTCTATTAAAGGTCCATTTATACGGTGGCCCTTAGAGGTCAATGCACTGCAACTTAAGAAAACACATGCAAATACTCACAACACAACCAAATACAGAAATGCCCTGTTTCCAGGGGACACTAAAAAAGTGATGAACCCAGTTGGGACGCACTTGGGCCCAATCCCAATGTCCCGCCTTGATGTAACCCAGTAAGTAAATGAATGTAAGAGGCTGCAACGGCTCAAAATGGCACAAAGGAATGGGACAGCACTTTGTGACAGATTAAGCTACCTTGACGACGCCAGAATATTTCATTCAATTATGGGTTTGGGACTTTTGATTTTGCATTTTTTCCCCCTCCCTTCACTTCCTGTTTGTAACCAAAAATTTATGTTGGATAAGAGCTGATAAAAACATATTTTGAATTCATCATCGTGCCATTGTAGGACAAATAACTACACACAGTCCTGGCTCTGAATCACCAGTGAGCTCTGTGTTTATACAATGGAAAGCCAGAACAAATTATACTCACATGTAAACTTGTTGGGTTCGTTCCTTTCATGCTCATTTGTTAACCGTTCCTCTTGTCTTCTTCCTTTTTTAATGTTTTGTGGCTGCAGGACTGCAGACTTACCGAGAGTGTGCGTAAAGGGCTCAACATGTCTGTTAGGGAGTCCTCATGCTCAAAGTCTGTGAGTCCTTGAGGGTGGACATTGGGATCGGGCCTTGTTGTTCAATGCTTTGTGCGTTTTGAAGTTATGAAGCCGGGTTCATCCCTTTTTAGTGTCCCCTGGAAACACTTCCGCTGTCGTCTGCACTTCTTGCAGCGCGTTTCTGAATTTACTCATGTTTTTGTCTCTTTGTGTTTTTCTTAAGCTGCAGTGTGTTGACTTCTCAGGACCACCGTACATTCAGCTTCAATGCATTTATACTGTTACTCATGACATGTCTAACCAATGCAGTCTGACTTATATAGTGTAATATATTAAAATCTAATGTTAAAGCTCCCATTCATTCCCACAGCAGCAGTAACTCAGTCAATAGATTAGTCAGTTTGTTTTCTTATGATTATTAAGTCATCAAAAAGTCATGCAAATCTGCAGCAAAGCGCACAGTCATCACACACGTTTACTTTAGGAAATGCTTCTCTAGTCTCGTATGACTGTTTTCTCATTCAGTTTGTTTTTCTCTGTGTGGTTGTGTAAATGAATTTGAGTAACATTAGCAGTACCAGCAAATGAAAAGTGATTAAGCTCACACAAAAGTAACTTTTCTCCTGAGTTGGAAACTGGGCCAGTTTTCGGCAGCGTCAGCACTCTCTCCAGTTCACCCGCTCTACGGCTCAGTGTGTTACCGACCAAACAGATGGAATCCTTCAGTGTTTGAATTTCATCTGTGAAAATGATTTATTTAAATATTATTCTGATATTGTCATTATAATACAAACTCGTTGCAATGTTCCAGTACAGAAGCCTCACACAATACCAAAGAAAAGAGAATTATAATTCATCAGAATTTTCGACAGCTCAACAAACAGACAGGACCGCATTGAAATGAAATACATTAGAGGAAACAAATACATCTAGAGTGGATGAGGAGCGTGGCATATAAAACAGAACAGGAAAATGGCTGTGTGATGTTTCTGAAATAACATCCCTGGATGAAGGAACTGCTGCTCTCGCCGTCACTGTGAACTCTTCTCCTCTTTGGTAACAGAGACCTTGTCGCCCGTGAGCACTTCAGCCTCCATCAAAACCAAATCTCACGACTCAGTTTTTTTTTTTTTTTTTTTTTTTTTTTTTTTACTAAGTATCATTTTTGCATCAGTCTGATCACAATATCAAATAAACCATCGCTCCAATTGTTCATTCTCTGTCATTCAATATGTTGCAAAGACCCACAGTCAAGTGGGTCCCCTGGATTAGGATGAAAGCTTTATAAAGGAGATGTTTCTAATATATATATCGATATATATTTTTTTGTCAAATACATTTTTACCCAAGTTCATTTTGAAGAGATGAAAACCCACTTTGGACTTGTTAACACTTGAATATGAGTACATGACACCATTGTTACAAGTACAGAACATCACTGGCCTCTGCCTTTTTAAACTGATTTAAAAAAAAACAAACAAAAAAAACAATTGTTAACATGCTGATTATTTCATTTACAAGTTGTACAGATCTGTAAATTTTTACATGAGGGTTGGACACAGTCAACATGTCCACTCAAACTGTGCACACTCTACTCAGTACAATCATCCTCCAAATCCCATAAAATAAGCTTTTACTATTTTTTTTCTGCAAACTAAACATTCAGGATCATATTACGTAACATGTCTCATTTTCAAAAACGCAGCAATCTATTTCCCCCGTCACAGCAGAGTGGCATATATATATATATATATGAAAGTGATGCTAGATTAACTGTCCCGAGTACACCCTGAAGCTATCCGGAACTTGAGGGATCAGACAGGGTTGCCCCGCTATTGCCCACACATCCTGCGCCCAGGCTGGAGGCTGCCGATCAGGAGACGCCTCTGCTCTGATCCCAGAGCATGACACGCTCCGTCAGCCATTTAACCTCGCTGCTGAATCAACAAGTTTTCCCGCCACACCACAGTTCTTTGGGAATGCAGAACAACTATACATGGAAGGGAGGGAGGGAAGGGGAGGACAGGGAGGGGGGAGGAGTTGCTTTGTCTGCAAAGCGGAATAAAAGCACAAAGTGAGGTGCAGCATTCTGCTTTCTGAAAACACACAGCACAGTAATTACTTGCAATTACATCTGTATGTAAATGTATGAATGTTAGATTATAGCATACGACATATGAGGAACTAGATAATCATGCTTCATGTTTGACCACCTTGAAAAAATAGCATGTGCTTAAGGGACAGTGTCTGTCAAAATAAAATGCAGGGCGCCTTCTGCTGCATGGTGGGTAACATTCATTTACAGCATGATTTCTTGAGACATAAATAAACTATTCTATTATTTATAGATATTTGGGTTTGAATTGGAGCGTCTGCATTTCTAATGGACGGCGCACAATTTCCTTTTTCAGCTCAAAAGTTAACAACAACAAAAGAATCCCATTTATTCCGGAGGTTAGAGTGTATCGCGGTGATGATCTGAATACAGGAGCTGCTGCACTGAACAACACCTCCGCCTGTCGTGTGTCAGATTGTCAAAGCGTTTTGCTTATAAATGCTCTGCGCGGATAAAAACAAATCTCAGTGATATATCATCTGAAAATAAAGCTAAAAATATATATAACTGTGAGAAAAGATTTTTTTACTTATTTTCCCAAACGTGGGTCATATACAATGTGACGATGAGCGAGTCTACTCTCTGTGCTGCACAGCCACTAAACACATCTGCCTGTTATATGCGCCAATGTGTGTGTGTGTGTGTGTGTGTGTGTGTTTGTGCGCTTTGCTAATACAAACTAGCACTACTCATGATCCAAAGTGGGTAAATACTGCGCGCCTTCACCCTCTGTAATAATAATGAGACATGCACCAGTGCTTCAGTTCAGCACGCCATTGACAAAATGGTGCAGGTCAATTAAAATTAATCATCCCGTGGTCACATATGAGGATTTTTGAATGACTCATAAATCGTCACATCCTTTTTTTTTTTTATTCCTACTGTGGATGCAATACAATTTAAAATGACAAGGGACATTTTTTTCACACCAAAGGTAGCACATTAAAATAAAACTAAACACTGTAACACTGAGCTCCAAGTGTTGACTTCCTCTCCTTTAAGCCTTCAGTCCAAAAAGCATGCACACCTGCATATGTATCAATAACAAGATGTAAAATTATGCACATTATTAGATCATTTTGACGGCCAATACAGCTGAAAGAAAAATGAGCAATTTATCCTTTTTTAACCTGATGGTTGATGTTAACAGTCTGAATTAACATGTACTTGAATTTCTTGGAGAGGGGACAGAGAGCGTATTCACAATGAAGCTCCATAGCAAACATGATGAGCGTCAGCTATGTGTACAGCACATACAGTTAATTCTGGGTGATTCAAATAAAACAGATATACATCTGGAATCATATATATATATTACACAAATATAGATTCTCCTTTTTTCTTGTTCACTTTTGAGCAATGATCACATGATGAACTGGAACATCGAAACCATAAGAAAGTCATTCGTCCGTGAGAATTATCCAATAAAGACACAGAGTCCGTTTTCCACACCGGAGCGCTGCACCTCGGGTGGCGTTGAGTCGACGTCTGTACAAAAGGTAATCCAGCTGCTTTAAAGGTGACCGGTGTTTACAGTGGCTAATAACAATGTGCTGGGGTGCAAGAGCAGTAGTGGCTGGGAAATGAGAGGCCAACTGTGCTGTCCGCATGGTGGGGGGAGGAGGAGGAGGAGGAGGAGGGGGAGAGGAGAGAGGGGGGGAAATAAAACAGGCAATTTTCTCGTTCACTTTGAGAGTAAACAGAGAGAGGGAGAGAAAGAGAGAAAGAGAGAGAGAAAGAGAGAGAGAGAGAGATCTGGGAGCAAATCATGTCAGTTCTTCAAATTATAACAAGGCATCCCTCACCAAACCACACGCCAGGAGCAGGACAGCCAGTCCATAGCTGGATGATATTCTTGTACCTGTGAAGAGAAGGAACACAGGGTTAAACCACTGAAAATAACGAATGGAAGAAAAAAAAGACAATTCTCAACAGAGAAAAACAACTTTTAGTGTTTTTTTTTACTAGTGTTATATTAGACAGAGGTGTGAAGCACGCCCTCAGCTACAGCATCGGCACCTGCAGGTGCTGGTTGTGCTCAGATTTTATGCAAACACAGTCTTTCAAAATACTGTGGATGTTATGATCAATGCTATTATTTCTTTATCAGTAAAATAAATGTTCCTTTTCTCTTGGCCGTCATTATCCAGATCTTCCAGCGTGTTTGAAGGTAGAAGTTCGAGTGAAGTGTGTTGCTTAAGAACAATCATCACTTCACCTGTGTTCACATGGACGTGCATCATCAGACCACACTGGAGCCTGATACCACTGCCGTCAGTCAGGTTTGGTTCACCCAGAGTAAAGTCGACGATTGGACATTTGTTTATTCAAACTTACATACTCATACACGGATGCCACCAACTTTACAAGACAGCCACGGAAAACTGCAAGTGTAAAGTGAACAGCCTCTGAACTGTTCTGAAGAGGATTTACATGGGCAGCTACCGCCGTCGTCTCGGCCCTGACAAGCTGCTATCATCACCGCAGGCGGCTCGGACTGTTTACTGAGCATCTGACACGACTAGCAACTGCAAACTAGAACACAGCCTCCTCAGCCCATTGTTTGAATCACCTGCGTCTTGAGGACATCGAACCTGATATGATGAGAGCAAAGAAACAGATGACAACTGTACAATCCTACGCAGCAGAGCTCTGTGGACCAGAAAAAAAACTAGTTTCTTCTCCATCAGCAGAAAGTGCTTAGATAAAGAAGAAAGAAAGACGGAGTGAAAGAGGAGAGAAGTGAGAAGCAAGAGAAGTATGAAGTTGTAATGCTGTGAAAACAAGCCAGTGCTTGGGAAATAAAAAGTGAAATATTCTCTAAATCATATTGACTTTTACTAGATTCCTGTGTCAGACAGTGAGATGCAGTTCTGAGACGGAGAGCGTCCGGGGGAACGCTTTGTTCCTCGCAGTCCAGCTCTGGATTGTCTGTGCTGCTGGGGATTTGGGGAGGAATGGTAAAAAAAAAAAAAAAAAAAAAAGGAGGGAGGGAGGGATGGATGGAGGGATGGAGGACAGACACGGAGGGCTTTGACCCTTCATCCCTCCCCCACCACATCTCATTTAAGCTTGAGGTGATCTACAGAACAGGAGTGCCACAGAGGAGCAGCAATCACTCTGGGCCAAAACATCCTTCACACAGAGAATAATTAATCAGCCTCCAGCTAAGAGTCAGAGCGGAGCATAAATGTGGAGACAGTACAGAAAAATGTGCAACAAAAACCTGCACTAATCCACTAATATCAAGCTTTTCACAATAATCTGCTTGGTGACGGTAAAACCAAAGTCAAAGATGTAACACTGGGGATGGAGGATGTGTCCTTGTCCCACACAGCCTCAGAAGCAAAACACCAGGCAGGTTTTCCTGGGTTCCCCCCTCCCAGGAATGTGTGAGGCTCTAAGCAGTTGCCAGGCAGTCTTTTGCCATTTGGAACATGCTGTTCCATTTTGTCATGAAGTCGCATCATGTGTCTCCATGTAGCCGGGGTGTAATGCAAAGCCACCATCTGGGTCTGTTTTCCACACATAAAAATCTGTATCTGGGTTCACTGGAAGTCATCTAGACTGCTTTGTTATTGTGTTTCTCCGGCCAGTTTTCTCCCTGCACCGTACATACGGCGGCAAGACGGAGTGTGAACCCTGTTTAAGCCTTTCACCTGGTTTTCTGCATTGATCGGTTATAAAATGTGATCTGATCTTCATTTAAGTCAGAAATGTAGACAAACATAAACTGTATCCCAATCCAGGGGCTGCATCCTTCGAAGCCTGCATTTGAAGACTGATTGCAATTTCAAGGAGCCTTTGAAATGGGACAGCCTAGTCCCATTTCAAGGGCTCCTTGAAATTGCGTCTTTCTTTTCCAACCTATCCCAAGATTCGTTGCACGTCAGTAATGAAATGAAATATCACCAACAGAGATCCTGAGGATTGTACTTTAAAATGTAAATATTGGGTTTCAGCTCATTTCAACAGCTAACGGTAAAACTGTTCAAACCAAAGGCCTTAAAACTTTAAGTTTTTGTGAAAAAAACAAGTTACATGTTGTCAAGGTTGCTAGGAGACAGGAGCCACGTTTTGCGATGCAACGGTAAGGACGGGCACAGCTGGTGACACAAAGAGAAAATCCTCCGTAGGCCAGACCATCTATTCTGGTTCGGCCTTCGCGGTCTACGACAGCTCAAAGACCACATCGCCTAGTGTCCCTAAGCTAATATCACACAAACACACACACTTATAAGCTTTTGTGCCTTTATTGAACACACCCATCAAACACTGACTAAGTGACCCCTTGGATTTCATAACCCATTTAACCTCATTTGGCATTGGTAACCTGAAACCAGCTCTTCTGGGAGCTGCTCAGACCTGCTCGATGTTCAGGAGGAACCATGGACCATACAGAGAATTCATTTTCCCCTGGAGCTGTCCAGGCCCAGAGGCAGCAAAGCCCAACATCATGATGCTCCCTCCACCCTACTTCACCTGAGGGGTGATTTTCATGTTGTTCCCAAACAATTAAACATTTGTCTCATCAGTCCATAAAACATTTTCCCAGCAGTACTGTGGAGTCAAGCTGCTCTTTGACAAACTTCAGGTGCAGTGGTGATGTATTTTGGAGAGCAGCGGCCTCATTGCGGGGTGGTCATGGCAGGACATGATGCTCCATGCAGTCCTGCTTCATGATTTGTGTATGATAGAAATGATTCCTTTAAGCCTTTAGCTCTTACTCTGAGCGTCTTTGTTACGTTACTGATCATTCCGCCTCGTGTCTTTGAAGTCATCATAGCTGGGTGCCACAAAACTAAATCATCTCCATTCATAGACAGTTTGTCTGACTGTGGACTCAACAAGTCTTGATATTAAGTCTCCTGAGATCTCATTTTAGTGAGGCATGGTTCACATCAGCAGATTCTTCTAGTGAACAGCAAAATCGAAATTATTGTACCTTGGCATGTGACAAAACTTTGAACTGCTGTTTAGCGGCAGCATTGTTTATACGTGAAACATAAAATACCATAAAACAATATATCCAGATCCAATGTATCCAGATATTCAATTTTAGATGTCGCCCAAGCCCAATACCACCGATCATGTCAAAGAAGCAGGTTTGGGTTGTTTTGCTGGCTCAGTTTGTGCTCTGTTAACCAGCTGTAGCTTCAGGGTTCAGCAGCAGCGTTGGACAGGTACGTGAATTGATTCCTTTCTTTTATGACTACCGTACACAAAACACACCAATATCAGCCAATCAGTGCCTGCTTATGAAAAGTATGGTTGCTAACATTGGTTATTCACAGTTTGAACACTGACTGTTCTTCAGCTGTGTTTATTCACTTACTGCGCACGTCACTGTTTTTGTAGATTGCATCAGGGAAGCTTTCTCACGAACCAGAGGCGAAGCACTGAATGGCTTCAGAATCTGAGTGAATTTCATCAAATAATGTGTTTGCTAAACTGCAGATGAACAAATATTTTCTCTGTGTCACTGTGTGTGTAAATTTTACATTTATTCTAACTGGTTTCTTGAGCATGATCCCAGATTTAGGCAGTTTATTGGCACACTGTGTTCAGGTTGAGTGCTAACATACGCTGTTAGCCATGGGCTGAAATCCCACAGCAGGTTCTATGATAAAGAAATTGCAATACCTGCACAGATGGACTCACATTAAATTGATGCTGGCACATTCATCACTCCCTCCTGTAATGTGTTGAGAGATTGCTATGTATGAAAGGTAATGGTAGTAACTTTATGAGTTCATGCTTTAAAGATAAGGCTGGTGATATTACATATTTTAATATTGTCATCAAATCCCAATACCCTCCTAACAAGTAGTACTGTGTGCGTATCCACAGCCTCATATATCCTATTCCTCTGAGCCATAGAACTGTATTGCTGTCCAAAGACTATTAAAAACACATCAGTGAGTCACACTGTTGCACTGGGCGACATGTTCCTTCATTACCATGAACACACACACACGGTAGTTTATTTTGACTCAATCCCACATGCAACTATCCCACCCTGCTGCCCCAAATATTCACTAGAGAACCAAGTTTGGATTAATCCACAGTGACCAGCTGTTTTAATAAATTTGAAACCCTTTTATAAGAAACTATGTGTGTAACGTGTTTTAATAGACGTATGTCCCTATGTCCCCAGTAAGATCCAAGAGACTTAGTGCTGAGTGCCAGACATGATGGACAGTCCTTCAGTATTGAGATACACAGTAATACACAGTGGCAATCCTAAACTCAGGGGGCTCCAGGAAAAGAAGCCCATCGCCGAACCCTCCAAAATGCAGACTGGTGGGAAATGCTACAATTTACAGATGTCCCCTAAACACCTCACATGCAGGCAATTGGTAGACGCTACAGCACACAGCATCAGGACGCACTTCGGGAGGTTTCGGGCAGCAGCAGGGCACTGCACAGTGTCTTTATGGGGGGTTTAAGGGGCTTTATAGTTGTCAATATGAGGGGCTATCAGGGGACCCTTTGCCTTTGGGGGCCCCAAGCATTTGCCCTGTTTGCCTCTCCTGATGGTGCACCTCTGGGAATGCATTGTTGAATGTGGTCTGTTTTTGCTCACATATAATGATGCTAGTCTTATCCTTTGACTATATTCACTGACACAGCTGTACTTCACTCAAACGAAGCAAAACTTGGTTCATTTGATTGTTTAGAATTCTGAATTCTTATTTTACACCAAAATATTTCAGTAGTGTTGATAAAAGTAAGCACACATCTATTTGTTCAAGTTCACACACTAACTGGGAACAAATATAGGGTTGAGTGTATTGCTCAAAGACACTTTGAGACGCAGGCAGGAGAACCAGCTGGACCTACACCTGATCCAACGGCAGC